GAGTGTGCTTTCCCCTTCCCTGTGTACCCCCTAGATATGCCACTGCATTTCCTGGCTTTTAGAGGTGACTACCTGTATTCCTAAACAAAGTTAATTCACACACTGTGATTCGGAGGGCAATAATAATCTCTGTCAGTGAACTTGGGACATTTCGTCCGAAACCTCGGAAGGTGGCCCTGTATGGGACCTTGTACTGCACCTTGGTCCCTTGCTGAAGCCTTTCTGGTGCCGCCACTGCAAAGAACTCTATATTTTTGTATTAAACACAGTTTTATGTAATAATCAATGTAGCCAACTGGACAATATATTTCATGTCTAAATATCTATACTAACATTATTACAGTAATATTTTCTAGGTACAATACATTATTATCATGTTTACAATGTAAATAATAAGGAAATAAAGATAGATATGAAGTACAATTGTGTAATGCATTTAATAGATTTATGTTTTAGTACAGTAGTATTAAATAATGGTGATGGTAATGATGATGGTATTATGAGGGCGAAGATAATGAGGACGATGACAATGACGACGACGGTGGTGAATAGGGTTATGGCGACAGCGACTATGAAACTGAACATTTTATTTCTTCTTTTCTACAGTTTGTTATAAACAGATGTGGAAAAAGCAGCAAAAATAAAAATATTTTGAGTAAAAATGCCCTGGAAAGTATGATAGTGGTATGTATTATTGACATCGGTGTTGCCGTTCTCCAAGTTTATCGCAAACAAACATAATTCCTCTTTACTCAGTTTAGTGTACAGATAGATAATACTGTAATAGTTATGATAATGACAATAATGTTAACGTTGGCTTTGACGTTTGAAGTTGCCGTTGACGTGTTTAATGGTAATGCTATTCATAATGACACCCACGTTTACAATGCATTTTGTGGTGCTTGACACCATCGTATCTCACTCCATAAAAGGCACAATTACAATCTCTAAGTTCAGTTCAAGTCGATAAGCGGTTACTAACTAAGCATATCACATTTGTGAATGATATCCATTGTGCAAGTAATTAGTAATACTCTTGCTCTCAATTCTTCCCTACCATGGTACGGCAAATGGAAGCAACTGGCCATTGCATTTTTGAATAATTAAGGAATAAAAATATCAGCCAGCTCTTATCATAGAGAAAATAGAACATGCTCTTATCAAGGAGGTATAAAAATATTTTTATACCTTTTTGCTCTTATTAACTATTCTCTCATCGCTGTTAATCTAGGTCTTTTGTGTGTGACACCACTCATGCATAAACGGATTATGTTGATGAGTTTGTCCTGCTTCCTTTTTTGGTGGTTTTACTGTATTTTTACAGGTATAACAGATCTGTAAAAACTACCTTTATCTTATTTAAATGTGGACAGTTTTACTGTATTTTTATAGATATACTGATCTGTAAAAATTACCTTTATTTGATATAAATGTGCACAGTTGTCCTGACAGTTCGCGCCCTTCCTGCATATGGTAATTTGTAAAACCACAGACGCTTTTTTCAACCAGTCAAAATATAACTTACATCATGGAGGTATTATAGTTACCTTCATGCTTACATCAATAGAAAATATGAATAATCATGTTTCTTTCTAGCAAGTGTACAATGTGTTCTATTGGTGAATGCTTAACAAAGCGATTTGAAGATGACAGGAAGCCCTCATAAAATCGAGACAATTTTTTTTTTTACACGGACCATGGTCGTTGTAGTTGCATATGAAATATGCAAAAAGGCAGGAACGTTTTAAAGCTTTACTAATACTAGTAAAACGAATGTAGGTAAGAATGGCCCCGGAAAAAATGGCCCCAGAAAAAATGGCCCCGGAAAAAATGGCCCTGGAAAAAATGGCCCCGGTAAAAATGGCCCCATAAGACAGGTAGGTAAAAATGGCCCCAATGAAAAATTCGGTAATAGAAATGGTATATTTTTTTTCTAATCTTCAAATATTTAAATACTGTATAAGCAAGAATTGAATCAAGAAATAAAAAATGGCCCTCAATTATAAAATTCAAGAAAAAAAAATTAATAATAAATAAATAAATGCTGTAAAATACCCTGTAGTGAAAATTTAATTAATAAATTAACATAAAGAATATACATATTTGAGAACTAAAATAAATTAGTTTTTAGCTCCTATGAGTAGCTCTGGGAGTAGGTTTAAGTATTTTTTAAAATTAATATTATTAGATATTATTACTATATTTGCGGTCAATTATTAATATTATTATTATTATTATTATTATTGGCTCTGATGGGAGGCTCTAAAACATTGATTCGGCACCAGTTTTGAACGACGAAATCAAGAAAATCAGTTTTAATACAGAATTTGATTATTGGGGCCATTTTTACCTACCTGTCGTATGGGGCCATTTTTACCGGGGCCATTTTTTCCGGGGCCTTTATTTCCGGGGCCATTTTTTCCGGGGCCATTTTTTCCGGGGCCATTCTTACCGTACACCTAGTAAAACGTATTATATAAAGGCACGCTATTGTATTCAGGTCACAGGTAGAATGAGCGACGTTTACTGTCAACATAGCAGTTAAATAGACCTAATTTCAAAATGTGTTTGCATTTAAGATATATTTGGTCAGTAAAATGGCTCTCCATGTGTAAAGTCATGTAGTGACAAAGTGATGTAACATCCATTTCACTGAACATAAAAAAATGTTACGTCAAGTATCCGTTTTGATAGATTGTGTTTCAATTACACAGTCTCACTTATACATATACCTTATACATATTCATATATATATATATATATATGTATATATATATATATATATATATATATATATATATTCATATTGTAAAGGAAATATATGCAGTTAACAGAAAAAATAATCCATGAACGTCATAGTTATTGAAATATAGCTAATCTAGGTCGTCATATCTTTGCAACAGACCACACCCATCAATGTCCATCTCAAAATTGCAAGAAAATGTTTCAATATGATTGACAGCAGCTTCGCAGTCACCAAGCATAATATCATCAATGGCGATGGTACCCATGTACTTTCTCTAACTGTCGCTTGAAACATGACCTATTAAAATGATATTAAAATTATCATGGCGTGGGTGAATGATTACGAGGAAGCAATGTTTAACACTCAGGCAAATACACAACCACTCATCCCCACACCTAGTGTACATTAATTAATCATTTACTCAACCAATCAATCGATCAGTCAGTCAATCAATCATCAATCGAATAATCAGTCATTCAGTCAATTAATAAGTCATCGGTAAACTTCTAGTTGATTTATAATAATTTCGTGCTAGGATTGATTAAGGAGGGGTAGCCACGGTGGATATTGAGGTGCTAAGCGCTGGTAGAGTTGGTCTAGGTTTTGGAGGGGTGTCCCTACCCCCCAAAACAGATATTTTTTATTACGTGTTTATAGAGCAATGTGGCTAAATGACCTTTGGACAACCTATGGATAAAACAAATAGGCATATTCATGCCATTATCCAACTATACCCTTTGAATTTTTGCATTAAAAAGGAAAATACTGTATTTAGATCCTATTTATTTTGAAAACTAAACAGGCCATACCATCAAAGTAATTAAAATCATTACAAACAGGTTTTCAAACAAATAAATATAGTACAAAAAATATATTTGTACCTATAATGTATCAGTTAGCAACATTTTATTACATCTACAGTATTATGAAAACTAAAACATGAATGTACGTTGATGCTATAAAACAGGACTTTAAAACCGAATTTTGAATGTAAAAAAAAAATGTTAGCAGATTTTAATGCTTTACAGTTTTACAGTTAATTTAAAAATTACTTAGTTTAAAAATCGTATAAAACGATTTGTCGTATGCGCATGCACTATAATGCACATGGGACCAACAGTTTAAACGTCACTTCCGAAAGACGGTGCACTATTGTAACTTGTATTTTAGCCCTCCAGCTGAAAAGGAGAGGCAACAATGAGATTGAACCGGAACCTACAGATCTAAACTGCTGGGAGAACACACAGCGGCTACCGATTTTTAGGCTACAGTCTTAATAAAAAATGTATGGTATTATAGAGCCTAATAATTACATAAAATTAGGTGTTTATTGGAAGAATGTGCACTTTGGCTAGTTTCCGTTGGTTGACCGTGGGTGTTTTGCGGTACCAGATCCTATCAACGGCATCAAATATTTTCAGATACACCATAAAGACGTGCAAATTATCCATATAATACCAAAATGTCAGGCATTTCTGCTTTTTCGTTGATGCAATCCTTGGTGTGAACAGTTTTGCTGTATCCCCAGTAACCGAAGCAACCGATGACTCATGAATATACATGCAGTGACCTTAATATAGAGAAGAGATAAGTTTCATTAAATCTTTATCACTAGTTATGTCCTCTATTTCACAGACCCGGTTGGTCAGCTATGCTACAATGGACATATTCTGTAAAGATACTCTGGTGGCGACGAATGTATGAGTTTTCGAAAATTTCGCAAATGAAAACTATTTCTGTGTCTCCTATAAGTTAAAGTATTTAGCTGTTTATTGTGTATGCGCCTGCTTAGTTGATTTTTATTCTGTATCCACATCAGCAACATATATCAGCACATATATACATATACAAATACACACACGCACCCACACACACACATATATACACACACATATACATATACATATACATATACATATATATATATAGGCCTATATATATTCATATATATACATATATATACATATATATATATACATATATATTCATATACATATATATATATATATATATACATATACATATACGTATACCCGCCACTTACAGAATGGATTAAAATATTAAACATTAAAATATGACAATATGATTAATATAATAATAATAATAATAATATAATATAATACATACATATACATATATATATATATATATACATATATATACATATACATATAAATACACATACATATACGTATATGAATATGTATACATATACGTATACATACATACACACA